AAGCAGTAAAACTGCTGCTGCTGCTGTTGCTCCTGCTGCATTGATGCTGCACTGCTGCTGCTGCATTTTAGCTAATTTTCGAGGGCCTTTTGGGCTGAACTAGACTGAGATCAAAACATAAAAATTGTAGATCATTTTTTCTTGCCTTTTCAAGACTTCTTGAATTGCCCCAATCCGAGTTTCCTCACTCCAGTTATGAAGACTTTTCTCCGGCTACTGTTTGTTGCAACTCCACTTGCATATCAAAAATGACATTTCCTTGAAATTAGGCTCCAATTAAGCTTGGATTGACCCAAAACCCTTCCTAGCAAATTTGTTTAAGTCACAATGAACTCTATAAAAGTTTAGGCTTGGTCTCCAAATCTCATTTTTGATTTGACCCTCCAATGACCTAGTTTTCACTTGAAAAGTTGAAAACTTGACTTCACTTCATTTCAAGCAACAAATTCTCTTGAATTTACCCAAAATCACTTCATGCAACTTTGTTAAGTTGGATTGGAATAGATTAAATCCTTGAAACTAGTTTCCATACTCCACATTGCATTTTGACCTATGAAGCCCAAATTGACCAAAGTGAGAAAACTTGAGATTTAACACAAAAATTTTCAATAAAGCTCAATTTTACTAAAAACTATTATTTCACTCAAATTAAGGGAGGATAAAGAAATCAAAAGAATTTAGGCATTTTGTATCCCATTTTAGCTTAAAGTAGTAAAAAATACTTGATAAATCCAATAAAATTGAGCACAAAGTATAATGTAAATTAGATTTATCAACGGGCCAAGGATGGGCGCACGATTGTCGTTCGCGTTGAACGCCTCGGGCGGGGTGGGAGAGGTCGAGGACCACACACATCCGCAACGGTTTTTCGTATCCCCGAGAACAACGCCAGCCCGTGGGCCACGATCTCGACAAGCCAAAGCGAGGCGGTCGCAGAACGCAGACGGTGCTTCGGTGTTCACCTCACGCCATGTAGGGGGAACAAAGTGAAACAGGGGCTTTTTCCGAGAGCAATGCCTTCCAATCGGTAACCAACATAGGAACCGTGTCATCCCCAGCCCAAGGCACACGGACGGCTCTTGAAGCACCGAATGAGGAGGAGGGCCGGGCTGGACATCGCTGCACAAGCAGGGATCGAACCAACCCACACAATCCAAGCACCACCCACGCACCATCACGTACACTCCGCACCAACTTTGCCTGACGAATCACGCCCCACGAACACAAGGCCCGCCGAACGCAAAAGCGTTGTGGCAAAGTCAGCCAAGCACCGATCGGTGCGGCATGAACAATCAATCGAGACCGAAAATCCCACCATGACACCAACACCGAAGCACTCGGAAAAGGAATGGACAAAAACTGAAGGGCCCTTGCCATGCTCAGGCTCGTGACGCCGAAGGCCAAAATTTTCGAATTATCACACAAAGGCCCTCAACATCGACGCGCCGTCACAAGGCTCGCGCAAAATCCCACAAACCACGAGAATGCTGACAAACTCGGATCCCCGCATGCCCCGGTCGCTGCCCACGCTCGGACTTCGGCAACGCCACGTCAAGGGCCCGTCCGATCAGCAGGCGCACCACGGCACGTGTGCATCATCCCGAACAAGCCCACGACATTGCATTGCCTCCAGTCGGGCACGGGGAGTGACCGTGGCATGCCCCCCCTCAGGCGGGAAGGACACGGGCCTCGACGGGTTCAAGCAAAGCCACCTTCCTCACCCTGCTCAGCATCACGATGCCGAAGGCTCACATTTCCGAATACCCACAAAGGCCTTCGGCATCGATGCGTCGTCACAAGGCTCAATAGCCAGCAAGACCCACGAGGAGTCCCCCGCCTTTCCCGCCCGACCGACCGAGCTGAGCATTGCGCAAGCAGATTGCAAGCCATGCATCACAGCCTTCAGCATCGCCACACCTTGACTGGGCAGAGTCCACGGGGTTGCTTGAGCAGACCGTTTTTCCACCCACAAACGCCGCCAGCGTTGCGATGCCTCCAGCCTTAGATGAACAACCCACAAGCACGCCCGTCACTACCCAACTCGACCTCCCATGCCCTCGGTCGTTGCCATGGCCGGCCTTCAGCAACGTCGCGTCAAGGGCCCGTCCGATCAGCAGGCACACCGAGCACGCGTGCGTCGTCCCAAACAAGCCCCGACATTACATTGCCTCCAGCCGGGCACGGAGAGCGACTGCGGGCACGGCACACACGCCGCCCCTGCCCGGGCTGGAAGAACAAGGGACTTAGCGGGTTCAAGCAAAGCTGCCTTCCTCACCCTGCTCAGCATCACGACGCCGAAGGCCAACATTTCCGAATATCCCACAAAGGCCCCTGACATCAATGCGTCGTCACAAGACTCAAACAGATTGCGAGGAGTCCCGTGCCATTCTCGCCCAACCGGCCGAGCTGAGCATTGCGCAAGCAGATTGCGAGCCGTGCATCACGGCCTTCGACATCACCACACCTTGACCAAGCGGTCCACGGGGTTGCGTGAGCAGCCCGTTTTTCCACCCACAAACGCTGCGGCAGCGTTGTGATTGACTCCAGCCTTAGAGGAACAACCCATAAGCACGCCCGTCACTGCCCAACTCGGCACTCCATGCCCCGGTTGCTGCCCATGGCCGCCTTCGGCAACTCATGTCAGGGCCCGTCTGATCAGCAGGTGTGCCGAGGCACGCGTGCATCATCCCGAGCAAGCCCCCGACATTGCATTGCCTCCGGCCGGGCAAGGGGAGCGACCATAGGCGCGGCACATTCCCCCTACCCCGGGTTGGAAGAACAAGGGACTTAGCGGGATTCAAGCGAAGCCGCCTTCCTTGCCCTGCTCAGCATCACGACACCGAAGGCCAACATTTCGAATATCCCACAAAGGCCCCCGGCATTAATGCGTCGTCACAAGGCTCAAATAGCTCACAAGTACCCATGAGGAGTCCCGTGCCCTTCCCGCCCGACCGGCCGAGCTGAGCATTGCCCAAGCAGATTTCGAGCCGTGCATCACGACCTTCGGCATCACCACACTTGACCGAGCGGTCCACGGGTTGCGTGAGCAGCTCGTTTTTCCACCCACAAACACCGCCAGCTAAATCATTCATAGTCTATGGCATTTTCAAGTATTTTAATATTTAGTAATATTTTTATAAATAATTTTTTTGTATAAGTTGATATTCTTTATGAAGAGATATTTTTTAAAAAAATTTGGTATATAATTTATTTTTCAAATGCCCCAAATGACATCCCTTCTCATTGCATAGGAAAATATGGTAAATAGACGGAGCCTCTAAGAATTAATACTACTTATTATAGTGATTATTGGCATTATAATCCCTTTAAAAAAGTACAAAAAATTACATTACAGCCGCCCCCACAAAATTTTACCCTACTCAGTAAAAAATAGAAACAAAAAATAAAAATATATAAATATCATAGTTTCTGTTGTAACAAATTTATTATTTTTGGAATTTAGGAAAATCTCCCATCTCATTTTTATTAAATCAAATATAAAATTACTTCAATATGTAAAAATAAATAGGATTTCACTATTAGAAAATTTAAATTTTAGTATTTTACCATCTAAAAATACATAAAAGAGACTTTCTTCTTATAAATATTAAATTTATAACACTTATCTCTTAGTTAAATATTTAAATGAAATATTTATATTTAAAAAATATAAATATTATTTTAGGTATAAATATTGATTGATTTCTCCCGTTTTGACATTTACAATTATTATTTATAATTAAAAAGTATTTATACTATTTAAAAGCAAAATTTTTGATAAATATTTTAAAATAATTTATTTATTTATGGTATCTTTTTAAAGTCTTTATTTGCATATTTTCAATTTATACATTTTTAAAGTTTATAGAAATACATAATTTCTATACTTAAAGAGTTAAAAAATTCATATTAAATTTTAAAAATATAATTTTAATAATAAGAATAAAACCTCACATTATAAAATAAATTATTAATTATTCTACAATCTCGGTTTTTCTTTAAAATTTTTTTATTTAAAAATATTTGTTAAAATTTTATTTTTAGGGATATAAATATTTTTAAATATAAAATAATAACTATAAATATTAAAATGAGAGAAAATCAATTAATATTTATACTTAAAATGATATTTATATTTTTTTAAAAATAGAATTTTTAATAAATATTTTACTCAAATGTTAATTAGAGAGTAAATCATATAAATTTAATATTTATAAAAAAATATTTTTATATATTTTTTAAAAATGTAATGCTAAAATTTAATTTTTCTGAAAAATAAAGTGCTATTTGTTGTATGTAAAAATACTGCTCATATAACATGGAGCAAAATTAGAATAAGAAGCCCTCGTTAACTGTTGAAAGGGGTTGTTCCAGATTTATATATTTAAGGGGAGTTTAAGTGCTTGTTTTTAACTTTAATGAGATAAAATTGAAAAACTTGATTCCTTAAGGGGTTAAGTGTAATTTATGCTTGTGCGTACCGTAGTACGTCCAACAAAATAATGGAATGGAAAATACCAGCGTCTCTGGTTCTCTAGGGCTCCGCTTTGCGAAGAGAGGGGGAGAGAGGAGAGCATCAGCTTGTCGATCTTCTTAGGAGAAGCAGCACCCACTCATAGACTCTTTCTCTAGCTGTTGGAATTGTGCTTCAGGTAAAATGTGCAAGCCTTTTGTTTTAGTACTTTAATGGTTTGCAGGGTTTTTTTTTTTCCCTGTGTTCACCCTTTCACTCTCGCTTCTTTTCCGTAAAATTGCCACTGTTGAGATGATAGCAGCTGCAGGATTGGTCTGTATGTGGATTCTATCACAACTTCGGTGATTGTGCTTATGTGTCTCGCTTGTCTTTGTTAACCATTTTTTTCAATTTCTTTTTCTCAAATGAAATGGTCCTTTCGTAATAAGAAAGCAGAGGTGTAGGTCGTTGTTTCAACCAATGTATCGATTTTTACTTTGCATGAGAGTATTATGCAATGCATGATTTACTTTTCTGAAACACTTGAATGCGGTTTATTTTTTTAATTCTTGCTTCGCTGCTAACTCCACTGATGTCTTTTTGTATTTGAGTTCTCTTTTCTAGTTTATTTTGGTTTTCACGTTATGTTTTATGTCGATTCACATAGATTCCAGTAGTCTTTAACGCCTAAAAAGTTTCAAGCAAGAGATATTGACATAAGAAACATCGTTCTTTTGTTTTTTGCTTCTTCTTCGGACGTTATTTTGCAGGAACAGCATTATCATGCACCTGCATGTCACTTTTTTATGCTTCCTTATTGAAGAATGATTCTTTTCTTTTGGTGTCAAATTTGTGTTAATCTTCACTACTGAATTCTGTAAAATTTTATTATTAATTCGGTTTACCTAATGGCAATCTGTTATTTCTAGCTTGACCCTGTTGCCACCATTGATCATACGCAAATTTGTTTCATCTTGTTAGGCTTTATTTGTTACTCAGACTTCCTCATTTCATCTAGAAATTGACTTTAACTATTCTCAGTGACAACTTCCTAGTGCTTTTCTTTCAGGTCCAATGGACAGCTCCGATGAAGACTCAAATTTCATCGGGTCAGAGATCAACCAGTACGTAGAGAAACCTTATCAAGAACTGAAGGCTGGGAAATACAAGGTAAATCATGTAAATTCAAAAGGCCTAGTTGGAGAATACCTTCGTAAAGAAGGAAAGCTGAAAACAATCTCTGACCATGTTGAGGAAGGAGCTCAAGATACAAATAAAATTGTGGCTAAGCTGATCAATGAGATTGGCATGAAAAATGAAAACCTGGATGAGTTGCATTACAAGTACAATGAGAAGACCATGTCATTGAGCAGGATGCTTGAGGAGAAAGACATGCTACATCATGCTTTCTATGAAGGTTTCCCTCCTCGTATAATGCGTGTTTGTATGTCTCCATGCAAGTTATATACCACACTGTTAATGTGTGTTTGTATGCCTCTATGCACATTATATACCTCACTGTTAATGCATGTTTGTATGTTTCAGTGCACATTATATACCTCACCATATATATGATCCATGGGTCTTGTTTGTCTGATCATGAAAGGATCCTTTGGCATACATATTTGTTTACCCTTTTGTGTTGATTGATTCCCACCTCATGGTGGAATGGAGGTGGATGTGTAGAAGAGATGTATTGATAAAGAATTTTTTTCCAAATCAAAAGAGAGGATGGAGAAATACATATCATGACATCTATTTGTGATAATCACATTAAGTATTTCAAAGTTCATATGATTCTTTATACAGTCCAATGAGTTGTGTTGAAATACAAGTTAACTCAACTTAACTAAACATTTTCCCTACTTCATGGAATAGGCTGCATATATCCTTTATCCTTTCTGCTCAATCATAAGCCATAATTATTTGCTGAACCACAATGTAGATCGTTTTTTTTCCCTACTTCAACCAAAGCTAGTTTTGTCTACCTCAACCTCTATTGTTATCCTCAATAGAAATAATGTCAATTTTTTTTAGGTAGGCTGCATATAGATCTATTTTGCACGTATCCAGACTAGTGTGTTAGAATCGCACAATTCACTATTCAATTTGTGCAATTTGATACGATTCATGAAGCCAGCAATTCGTATAAGCCATTGAATTGCAGAAGAATTTGAATCATGCGATTCATGCATGATTTGATATGACTCACAATATGATAATTTTATTTAATATATAGTTTGTCTAGACAAATAGTTTCATAATCATTTTACATTAAATAACTACATAAATTTGCATATATATGTTAGACATTTCTTTATTAGTTTAATTTATAAAAATTATCTCAGTTGGCACTCCATGATAAAAAAAAATTTAGCTACATCCTTGTGTAATATTTAAGTATTTATTTGAGAGTTCATGGTTTAAATGTGGAATCATGTATATTGAAGTATTTTACTGATGTATTTCTGAATCTTATGATGTGTCATGATTCACAGTTCAAAAATTGAACAAACGATTCTCAATACAATTCACAATTTGACAACTATGGTCCAAGTATCTGAACATAATTTCTCTTATGTTATCATTATTCATTAATAAGTGCTACCTTAACCATCTCTGGAGCACAACTATTTTCTAACTTTGTTCATCCTAGTTTTACCACACATCCATCATATTATTGTCATTTTTTTATTCAATTATACAGTTGTGTCAGAATGTCTAAATAAAAAATTTATGTAAGGACTCTAATTGGAGAACATTTAAGAGGCTTACTACCTTCAACATGGAGGGATATTGCTTTTTGCTTCATTACAGTAATCATGGTCATTAACATCTAATATCTTGCACGTGTCCCAGAAACAAGAAAGATGCGGCGCCTAGCACGAGAGCATGTTCGAAGAATTTTAGATGAACAGGAGATGCTGAATTATGAGATAGAGGCTGAGAGGAAGGAACTTAATTCTTGGAGCAAATAGTTGAACAAACGTGAAGCATTAGCTGAAAGAGAGAGACAGAAGCTTGACGAGGAAAAGCAAAAGGTGATAGTTGTTCTTTTCCACATACATATGCCATCTTGAAGGCATGCATGTAGAATGTCAATTTTGTATACTGGATCTAAAATTAGCATACTTTGATAGTGTCATTCATCTAAGTGTTTTACACTCGTTTGTATGAATGGTGCAAAGGATTTAAAACATATGGAAAGTATTAATGTATTGCACATGATCAATTACCCCTTTGCTATATTCTATATTATACTAGTGAACAATTCTATCATTTCTAGTGCTTTGTGTCTTCCACTTGAAAAGTTAAATGAGAACCACAAAAAAGGGGGGAAAAGCAAAAACCCAAAAGAAAGAAAGAAAGAAAGAAAAGACGACGGTACTCCACAAACAAGCTGATTGTTGTATATTAATTTTCGATGCTTGTTGCTAACTGAAATTGCATTGGACCAATTATCTTATTAGAATTCAACAAGAAACAATTCACTTAAAATGGCTTCAATGGAGCAGAGAAAAGCGTATGAGAATGTCTTATGACTAATCGAAGAACAAAAGGTAAGCTAGACTTTAGTGTACCTTTTTTCTTTCCCTTTCAACCTATATAGGTTTAATTAAATTGTATTTTGAATCTGCAGAAAGAGAAATAGGAAGCATTGATCAAAATACTTCAATTGGAAAAACAGCTGGATGCAAAGCAAAAATTGGAAATGGAAATTGAAGAGCTCAAGGGAAAACTGCTAGTGATGAAGCATTTGGGAGATGAGGATGATGCTGCTGTGCAGAACAAGATAAAGGAGATGAATGAGGAACTAGACCAGAATATTGATGAGATGAAGGATTTGGAAGATTTAAATCAGGCGCTGATTATAAAAGAGCGTCAAAGTAATGATGAGCTGCAAGAAGCTCGTAAAGAATTGATTGCGGTACAATTTCTTTCTACTTCCTGCTATTGCTCTCTCTGTCCATACTTCAAATATTATTTAGGATTGTATGTATATGTACATTTTGCTGCAATGAGATGCAGTAATTTTCAAGTTAATTTGCAATGGCACCACGCTGAAATGGGTGATGCATGCCATGAATTAAAAGCCCATTCTTTATGCTTCTTGACTAACATTACAATTTTGTTGGCATGTCATCCCATGTTAGTGTTATCAGTGGATTGAAAGTAGATATTAAGAGAACATTAAAGATTTTTTGAGCTCTAATGCATATCAGATAATGATTTATTATTTGATATTGAACCATCTATATGAATTAAAGAATTGTCCGAGGGTAATTGTGCATAGTGGCTTGACTCTGTTTTCTATAAAACAACATTCCTTGATATGCCTAGCATTTGTGTACACTTCTCTTTGTTTCAGGATTGAGTGACATGTTAAGCAGTAGCTACACTCTTATTGGGCTAAAGAGGATGGGAGAAATTAATATAAAGCCCTTCCATTATACTTGCAAGGCCAGGTTCCCACCTTCAGAAGCAGAAATGAAGGCCTTAGAACTGTGTTCCTTATGGCAGGAGAGGATGAAAGACCCCAACTGGCACCCTTTTAAGATTACCACAGAGGTGGAAAATCATAAGGTATGCCAAATTGCCAGATGCATATTAGTCTAATGTTACTTCGAATTTACACCATTTCGTTTTCCTGTGAACAATATAATTTTATCAGCTATTTTTTGTCTTATGAAATATGGAATCTAGGCTAACAATCATACTTCTTTCTTTTTTGCCTGATTATTTGAGTGTCATATCTATAAGAATGTCCTATCCTCACTAAAGCTTGTATTCTTGCTACTATTTAAATATTCCAATAGAATTGTGTTTAATATGTGTATACATGTGGCAACTGCCATCATATTAAGGTTTCATGCTCAATGCAGGAAGACATAGATCCTGAAGATGAACTGATGCAAAATCTCAAGACATAATGGGGCAAAGAGATATATGAAGCTGTCATAATTGCCTTAAAAGAGATGAATGAATATAATCCAAGTGACAGATATGTGGTTTCTGAGTTGTGGAACTTCAGGGAGGACAGAAAAGTGACATTGAAGGAAGTAATTGCTTATATATTGAAGACTATGAAGACACTGAAGTGCAAGAGGTGCTAAGGTTAGGATTTGTCTATCTCATTGGGCTTTTGTTGTTTTACTGAATGAGAGTGTAGATGTAGTAATTCTAGACTGATGAGTCTACACAGAATAATGATTAATCTTAATTCAGTGCATACTAACAGAACACATGGCAAATGTTCAGAGATATGATTAGGCTACTCACACTTTTCACTAATATATAAATTATGAGTGAAGAATATGTGACAAAACCCTCACATTTATATGGTAAAATGCCTTGGTTAAGACATTTAGTTGCATTCAAAAGTCTTCTAGACAAGATACCTTTCTTAGTTCATTTATGACTGTGTGTGATTAGATATAGTAACTCTTTGCTGAATGTCTAAATCTCTGTAATGATCAATCTAAGCTCCGTACATGCTAACAGAATGCATATTACAAATCTTTGTTTTTGTTGTTTTTCGTTTTGTACATCCTAAAATGTAGTATCTTCTGTTATTTTTTGTGTCGGATAAGTCAGAAAGGGGGTGGGGGGAAGAGGGAATGAAAGGCCATTAAGTATCCTCTTAAAGCCAAACTAAAGCAACATGTGTTGCCTCTACCTATGTCCAATACATTCTTGGTGAGCTTTCACTTATATAATAAAAAACATAAACATTTATAGTAAGAGTTAATTTGGAAAATCTTAAAAATTAGTTTACTAATTATCAGAGTTAATGAATGCTAATGGGACGGGAAGTAGAAATTTTTCTATTTGATTTTTTCACGGCAAAAATAAAAAAATTGAGAGGGGGAGGGGACAGAAAGTTTATAAGGCTTGCCCAAACGGAGCCCTAGTATATTGCAGATTAGGTGATGTACCTTTGTTACTGTTTTGGACATTCTGTGTGAACGGTTTTTAGTATTCTTTTTTCTTAATATTTTGTTTTGGGAGAAAAAGGGGGAGATGGTTTTGGGTACTACTGCCTTATCAAGCATCTAGTTTTGTAATACATTTTAAGTTCCATATGCTAGGGCTTGGACTTCTGAGTGGGTCTTCCATTTCTTGCTGATTTTCTCTTGCTTCCAATGTACTTCCCAGGTTAATAATGTGATATGCATTGAGAAGTTTTCTGATTTCACACAGCTTGGAAGGTTTACGTACTGAAGGTGGCTATTTGACATTGGCTTTATCCGTTCAAGTAGTGGGCATCCATTTTTTTTTTTAAACTTTTTTTCATCTATAAAACATTGATGTTTTCAATGTTATATAATTTATAACAACGGAGAAAAATATTCACTGGTAAGGGGTTAGTAACGGCAGTTAAAATTAACCGCCACAATTGTTGAATATTACGGTGCATTTTAGAGCAGTTTGTGAGTCCGCCGTATTTTACAAATAAATAATTTCGATAGAATTTAAGAATCAAAATTTTAGTATTCTAATTTTTCTCTAATATCTTCTCTTTATTGGTGAATATGTTCATTTAATTACGAGAAATGTCAACCACATTTTTTAAAAATTACAAATAAAAAATTTATAGACCAAGAGAAGGATGAAAAGTAGTGAAAGATTCTCTCATTTTATGTTAGAAACAAAAGAACCATTGGATTATATGCGTGGACATAATTTTAAATATTTATACTATTCTAATATTTAAGTTGGAAATATTAAGTAATATAAATGTAAAAATTGAACATTAATTAGTTGGAAGTGAAATACCACTACTAATTAAGTTTTTATTCTTTTGCTTAAAAATGAATTTGAAAGTTAAAAAAGGTAGCAAAATAGTACAAAAAATAGGATATTTATTCGTATAATCTAGTTTCTTATATTTTAAGAAATAATTAAAAATATAATATATTTTTATTGCTTATTTACTTATTTTTCACTTGTATTTTTTTCCTTCCCTCCCTTTAGCGCTTTTTTTTTTTGTTGGATTTTGACTAAGGCCGCCCAATAGACAACTGCGTCCTTTTATTCCACCTTTCAGCCGAGGCCGAGCCCTAGCCTTAGCCAGTTCCCTTTCTATTTCAGCTTCCATCCATTCGCAGGGATAGGCCGCTGATTCCCTAGCTCTCATCGTCGTCATTTTGCTCCATCGACCGTGGACTGTCGTCCGTCAGTTCCCTTGCAATCGCGGTCGCCTTATTTGAAAGGTAGGAAACCCTTTCACCCATTCCATTTTTGTGATTTTATCTGCTAGTGTTTGTTTGAGAACGGTTCACCATGTACTCTTAATCGGAGCCCTAGATTTGGTACTTCATTTTCCGTTTAATTTCAGGCACTCTCTGCTACACACTGTGCAATTAGTGAAAATGTAGACGCTCTCGGCTCTCTGGCTTTTCCCTCTCTGTCTTTGACTTGGTGAATGAAGAAAGATTGAGGAGAAAAGTTTTTTGTAGTCATTTGTAGGACGTAAAGTTTTTGTTTCTTCATTTTTGTAGTATTTCTCATTTGCTAGGGTTTGATCTCCTGGTGTGTGTAATTGTTACCGCATTATTTTGATTTCTTGAACTTCCCTGTCCTATTGTTTGAATTCCTGATTGTTTTTGGCGTCACAACACCGCTTCCCCTAAATAACATCTTCTGTAGCTGTACTTGTCAAAGAGTAACCTGTGCTTGGGTCAAAGGGACAGAGTTTTTCTTTGGGCAGTCCTGATTCCTTTGAGAGCTTAAAGGACAATATCATTCTGTTGTGGAATGCTGTCAAGCAACCAAACGTATTTCTTCCTACTTAATTGATTTTCTTGTGGCAAGCAACACCACAGTCAAATTTTGCCATGTTTTACTTCACTTATTTCTCTGTAAATGTGTTTATTTTTCTGTCCTATTTTTTTAGTTTGTTGTAATTGAAATTGATTTTATTCTTTGTATATTTTCTAATAAAAAAATTCCTTGATTTCAGCATGAATAAACTCAGTTTCGCCTGGAATGTATGGGGCGTGTTAAGCTTGTGACTTCTGTTGCATCACTGCTTGGTGTTGGAATCTATAATGGTTTCCTGAAAAATGGTCCATTAAGGAAGATTTTTCTTGGTTCAACTATTATAGGTACTGGACTTGGGATGGCTCTGGTATGTCAATAGTGCCCTTTGGTCAAGAATTTTCCAATTTTTTCTTGTAGTAATATTGCTAATTTATTGTGCTTCTATGCATGCTTTCCCTGTTACAAGAATAGACTAGCAATTTGGCGTAAGTGATGAGTGGTTTACAACTGGAGATTCTTTGATTTTGTTAGTACTTGTTCAGGCAATCTGATTCAATGAATGATTTTTGTCTCTTTTATACCTGTTCTAGTGGTAGCAGCAAGATTATGTTCTCCCACAATGGAAGCCTCACTTTTTGCAACCCTAATGTCCATGTCTAATGGAGGAAGTGTGCTTGGGTTATCTTTTTACTCATGCTTTTGTTATCTCCTATGTTAGTTCTCTATAACGCTTTCATTTGAGTACTGAGGACGTGGATCTTCCAATTAGAGTTAGGAATGCTATAAGCTCTTGTACTTGACATACTACTTATAAGTTTATTTCTTTTAAGTTCATTGCCTCCATGCTATCATGCTCACAAATATGTAAAGACAAAAATCAGCATACAGTGTGGGATTAAAACTTGTATTTACCTATATTTCAAATATGGAATACCTTATCAAGGTTGTCCAGGGGTTAGCATGGCAGTAGATGTAATGATAGAACACATAACAATGGGAAAAGGAGAGAAGAATAAATAACATTTTAATGGACAAAAAGAAATAAGATATTCAAAAGATGATGGAATCCGATATGATGGGCTAGATATATCAAATACCAGTAATCAATTATTACTTGATCTATATAATTGTTGAGAAGCCATGGTATGTGTAAAACCTATAAATTATGTTAAGCCAATCATATTAGCTTCCATTGGGTTCTTGAAATTGTGAAATTTCATGCACGCTCATGTTAATGGATATTTATAGTCAGTAAGTACATTTACACATCATAGCATGAGTTTGCTTCATATCTGTTGTCTATACGTGTAAAGTTCGCAATATCCTAATTTTGTATTAATGGCTTTGCTGATGATTGGTGATGATCAGTTTTCTGGTTGTCAATTGGACTTTATTTTTATTTATTGAATTTTGTACTATAGTTTAACATACCAACAAGTTAATTGCAGTGATTTTATCTCATCTAGTTGCTGTTGATAGGAAGCATAGGTGGAAGCTTTTGTTTTTCCAATGATAACTTCTGATTATCAAATCCAGGCCACCACTGAATCCTATGATTGGTGATGGAGGAAAGGACCTTGATATCTATGAATGTAAAAAGGAGAAGGATAAAGAACTTGTTGTCTATCGGGAATACCATTGCCGCCAGACGAAAAGAGATTCTTCAAGGATCTCGTGGCTCAGGTTAACAAGATCACCAACAAAGGACACATAAAGTGGAAGATAAGTGATTTATTAACAAGATCAGAATTTTTTTAGGCACTTCCTAATTACTATGCTTTTTCTAGGCACTTCTGAAAGTTGGTTTAATAAAATAAGAGAATACAATGGGCCACTGTAAATTATAAAATGTATATGAGAAAATATATTTATTGTTGTTTTGATTATATTTAAATTTATCTGTGAATTTCCTTTAAAAAGTCATTAAAGTCCTGAGCTTGATGATCGGGAATACCTTTGCTGCCAGACGAAAAGAGGTTCTACAAGGATCTCGTGGCTCAGGTTTAACGAGATCACCAACAAAGGAGACACAAAGTGGAAGATAACTGATTTATTAACAAGATCAGCATTTTTTTAGGCACTTCCAAATTACTATGCTTTTCTAGGCCCTTCCGGAAGTTGGTTTAATAAAAATAAGAGAATACAATGGACCATTGTAAATTATAACTGTATATGCAGAAAATATATTTATTGTTGCTTTGATTGTATTTAAATTATATCTCTGAATTTCCTTTTAAAAAGTCATTAAAGTCCTGAGTTTGAAGATCGGGAATAGCTTTGCCGCCAGACGAAAAGAGGTTCTTCCGAGAATCTCGTGGCTCAGGTTTAACAAGATCACTAATAAAGGACACACAAAGAGGAAGATAATTGATTTATTTATAAATCAGAATTTTTTTAAGCACTTCCTAATTACTATGCTTTTCTAGGCACATTCGAAAGTTGGTTTAATAAAATAAGAGAATACAATGGACCACTAACAAATTATAAACTTTGATTGGATTTAAATTTATCTTTGAATTTCCTTTAGAAACACATTAAAGTCCTGAGCTTGAAAATCAGGAATACCTTTGCTACCTAGACGAAAAGAGGTTCTTCAAGAATCTCGTGGCTCAGGTTTAACAAGATCACCAACAAAGGAGACACAAAGTTGAAGATAACTGATTTATTAACAAGATCAGAATTTTTTAGGCACTTCCAATTACTATGCTTTTCTAGGCACTTCCGAAGTTGGTTTAATAAAAAAATAAGAGAACACAATGGACCATTGTAAATTATAAACTGTATATGCGGAAAATATATTTATTGTTGCTTTAATTGTATTTAAATTTATCTGTGAATTTCCTTTAAAAAGTCATTAA